ACGTCTCTCCATGCTGACCTGTCAATGGCTCGCGTTCGTGTATGCATGAAACGATCCTATGACGTTTCATGCTGCTGTCTCATTTGCATGCGATACTCGTAGCCTTGCCTGCAGTGATCTTAGATGGCCACATGGCGTGCCTCTTTTCTCTTGGCGGGCCATGTGCGGGGTATTGAAGCGGTTTTTGTTGGCTACGTTGCGTGCCTTTTCGTTTTTTGGGGGTAGGGGAAGCAAGAGAACACAGTCTTGTATATAATTACATCTGAAATGCGTTGGATTCTGCTTATCATGATGATGAAGAAGATGATTCCGCTGATGTATGCTCAGTTAGGAGCGCAAGACGCGGCTTTATCCCAAAGCAGTGTAACTGCCCCTAAACCTTCAACTCCAACACACCGGCAAGACCTGTGCCCAATTCATGCACGCAGACATGCCGCACATCCTTTGAGGGGGTTGAGGTACATAGACATACAGACATTGCAAGCTGCATCGAGTAGGGTTCATGGCTTCACAAGCGGTGCCAGCCTTCATTAACATGTACTACGCACTTAGATTGGAACACGAGCCCCAACTAAACGCACAGCACGAGTAGTTACTGTACACTGTACATGTTTACTGCAGCAAGCCCTGGATAAGAAGAAGCGTGTCCCCAGTGATGCGACAGGGAGAATGAGAAGAATCACACTGAACCACACTCTCGAAACCTCCGTGCGCCTGAAAGTTGGACCACTGTCGTTGTTGTTTGTGATCTTAGTCTTTTCTTGTATGCGTGTATGTCCGTACTGAGGCCAGCAGGAAAGCTGGTGCAGAACTCAGACATCAGCTCATTGACCATCTTCCAGCAACATTATAGGCAAGCGTATGAGAAGGTTGTCTTGCATGTCCGCCGCGATCGTGCTTTGCGTCTTGCAGGTGGCGCAGAAGTGGTTTCGAGCAATGCCGCTGCTAGCGCAAAGTCCCTACAAACCTGACGATCGCACCTCCACTGCATCTTCGAGCACGTTTTGACGAACGCTTGGTTATGGTATGCTTTCTTCTTTACACACAGAGATGTGGATGGGTTTCATGATACGGTTTGCTGGCTAGGCAGCATTGGTCTCAAGTCAAGCCTCAGCTGCTGCATATTTGTATGGGTCTCTGTAGCTGAATGAGTACGCTTTATACTCTTTGGGGTTGGGCTTATGAACTCAGCCACGAAGTAGTGACTCCTGCTGCTCAGGATTCGACGGACTCCCATGATTCATGACATGACTGAAGTCTCCGGCGAGCTGTGCACCGACCTCTCCCATCCACTGAGCTACATGGGCTTCCGGCGGCAGGATGTCAGCTGATCGTCCTGGACAAGAAGCGCCTCGAAAAACCAAGCGCCCGCCAGAGCACTCCAGGTCTAAAGAAGTCTTTCAGCCGGAAACCTATAAGAACCATATTATATATACATATATACATACATATCTACTTTCTTTCAAGAGGTCCTCTGAAACCCCTCTCCAGATGGATTGGCCAAGCGACAGGCCTCTCATCAAGAGCCAGCTGCACTTGTGCCCGTTTTTCGCAGCCATGCGATTTCTCAAGCGAAGGTCATCGCAAGACTGCCGAATCCGGCGTAGACAAAAGCTTGCAACCTTCACGCTGACAGGCTGCTCTACCGGCCATACCAACCCAGAGCTAAACTTTAGCACCCCCACGGACTGTCAGAGCTTCCCCCGACAGATCTCTCCCTTGCTGGCTCTACATATAGACTGATCCTGCTCCACTGCTACCCGCACAGCCACCGCACGGTAAACCCCTCAGAGGGTCACGTAGAGTCAGCCTGGGTGTCACAGACGGCACATTGGAAAATGAACTGGCCGTTTAGGGTCGAGGGCCCTCTCTACGTATGCCTCTACGCATCAGCAACCGTGCAAACTTCTCCTGCTTGTGCCTATGGTGTGCTCTCGCGCCGAAGTTGGTGGGAGAAGATCTCGCAATATCATCCTACTGTGCATCTTGGCGCAAGCTTATGGTTTGGTCCGGTTTGCCTTGAAGTTAGAGCGGCTTCCCTGCCTTGCTAGGCACGCTGGGCTTCCTCGCTGCCGCTTGGCCAATTCTGATGACGATCAGAGTCTTAGTAGCAGGGTTTAGGGTTTAGGGTTTGGGGTCACGGTTCACTTGCCGCAGAGTGTCTTTACCGTACCCATAGCAGGGAGCCTATTCCTCTGCGGACCCCTTGGGACCCAATCAGTGAGGTGACTCCGAGGATGCATGCTGCAGGCGACTTGAAGGATGTTTGTTGTGCATATGGATAGTTCTCTAAATTCGGGTCCCCAAAATGGTACGGCACCCTTATAAACAGGACCCTAAAAGGGATCCTAATTCAAGAGAGCTACCCACATGATACTATATATTCATTATATTTCTAATTCCAGATGAGGTACCTTATAGAAGTGGAGGGGTGTAGGTAAGCCTTTCGCAGGACTGAAAGGAGCGCAGCCAGCGCCTGCACAGAGCATCCTTGTCCCATCCCCAACAAGCTTCTTTGCGACGAGGGTTTGGTGTTTAGGGTCTCTCCGATTAAAACTTCCACTGTCCTGCTGCCATGTCTGCTCCAGTACCAACGGTTGCTTGTGCTAGTGATAGTGTTCTTCTCATGCGGTCACTGGTTATTGAAGCTCAGTGTCCAGCCGGAACGACATGTGCCCACGCTCCAGACAGCAGTAAGGCTTGGAACGGCTTCGGGGCAAAGACCGAGCCGAGTTTGCGTTGCCTATCGGTTGGCCTTCAGGGATGTGGTTCCAGGCGTACCATAATATACTATAGTATATAATTTGCCATAACAGTATATCGTGTATATGGTCTTTTGTTCTACTGTTGATGATATAAACCCTGCATTACCTTAAGGACCCTAAACTATGGGAATTATGATATATTCCTTATATGGGTAATGCAGGATGTGTATCATCAACCGTAGTGTACCGTGTGTATGGTCTTTTGTTCTCTATAGTATACAGTGTCCAGTCTAAGGTTCAGCCCGCGAGTTTCTCAGTGGCGTGGCGCCGAGAAAGTCGCCGAGGCAAAATCGGCGAGAACGGCTGTAAGTGGTCACAGTATGGTTGTATAGGGACGGGCAAAAGGGTTGTGTGTATAAATGTATATATATATATGTATATACTCTGATTACGTAAGTGTACAGGAGAATGCCAGACCGACAAAGGTTTCAGAAGAGGGCCGTGAGAAAGTGCGTTCCACAGGCACTGGTTTGGCGCGTCGCGCTTCCAAGCAAGATGCCGAGGACAGGAAGGGATGCCCGCACAAAGACTGCCAGATGAAATTGTTCACAGTCACAGCAATCCAATCCCGCATGTTCCTGCTGCGCCCTTTGTGCAAGTCTGGGTTTGTCAGAGAGCATCGCAGCAAGTTGTGACCTCAGGTAATGCAACTGAGGCAATGCCTGATTTTCGGGTGGGGCTTGTAACCTCGACTCTACATCAAAACCAGCCTGCCGGATCGGGCTTAGACAAGCTGTGGTAGAGGCGCCCCGAAGAGCCGTTGCAGTCTCGTGCAGGGCTTTGAAGGCTTCGGGTGGCATGGCGCAGTGCTCACCGCTTCATCGGCCGTGCTAGGCCGGACTCCCAGCATCTTTCGGCAACATCATAGCATATCATGCCATTATATATATATATACATACACATGTATTATATACTGGGTTAAGGGGTTAGGCTTTGGACTTTAAGAGATTGTTAGATGAGACCACAACATCTTATTGGATCATTCGGCTGATGGCTTTGCTTTCGAAAGTGTGCCTCCCTTCGCGTTTCTGAATGTTCAGAAACCCTCCTAAACCCCTAAACCCCTTAAAGCCCTTAGAGCCCTTAAAGCCCTAAACCCCTAAACCCCTAAACCCCTTAAACCCCTAAACCCCTGTCAGGTCCTACCTTAGATGGCATGGCTCATGGAAACTTCGGGGTCGCTTCCTCAGAGGGAGGGAGGCGAACGCTCGGTTTAGAGTAATTTTGGGGGCCTTAATCAGTAGAATAGGGTTTGGGGGTATATTATACTATAATCATAATACGGAACCCCCCAAAACCCTGTTCTAATTATTAAGGCCCCTACAGTAGAGCTTTTTTGTGGTGCATACATGCTGCAGGTCCCTGCTTTAATTAGTAATCAAATCTGAGTGCCTCCATGTGACTTCACGCTTTGCCGCCGGAAGCCCCTGGATCGGTTGGGCAGAAGTAGTTTGAATTGCATCATGACTTGTGCACAGATGCAGGTTACCCTATTGCATAGAGTCAGAATGTAGATTGTATTATTCTAAATGCTGCAATTACCACACTACCTCCTCAACATTTTGCCATCTTTCGGTGTATTGGTCCGTTTGCTTGTAGCGTCAGTGACGAGTTGACGCCTGCACTTGGTTGCAATGTGCCGGCAGTATGTCACAGCTGCCTACGCGTGTGCAGTGCTCCATTTCTGGACGGCTTCTTTGATGCATCTCAGTCTCATGGTGTCAGGGTGCGCCGTCCATTTGCGCAAGCCTGCCACCCTAAACCTAAAACCCTAAACCCCTAAGTCCGAGTGCGAGTGCTGAGACCCAAAACCCAAAACCCTCCACCCTGCCCCAGCTGAATTCAGAAGCGCTTCAATTGTGCTTGGCCCAAGGCACGAATCTGCAACTGGCGAGGAAGGTCTGGGCTACTGGAATCCTTTCATTCTCTGGCCGAGAGTCTCGCCTCGAAATTGTGTAGGGTTTAGGGGTTTTCGGGTTTTAGGGTTTAGGGTTTTAGGGTTTTAGGGTTTTAGGGTTTAGGGCTTTAGGGTTTTAGGGTTTAGGGTTTTAGGGTTTTAGGGTACGTTCCGGTCTCAAGTTGAAGATTCACGGGCTTACCGCTCAGTGCTCAGTGCTCAGAACGCCGCGGCGAGGAACGCTCGCGTGTTGTGGTTTTTTAGTTTTCTGATTCTTCCTAGATATTCTCCTGGCCTGCATGACTCGATGTCAAGGCAGCGTATCAAAGCACAGACCATGGCAGATGAGAAAGTGCTTGCTCGTGTGCACGACAAGCGCCAGCGAACCTTGAAAGCGCGCCTTAGAAGCACAGGAGAGCTGCCGCTTGAAGTTTGCCAGGCTGCAGACGACGTGCATTAGAGCCCGCTGTGAAGTCAACGCTTCGTTCAGTACGCCCCTGACCAACTTCGGCCCGTTATTGGTAGCAGTCTGCAGCAGTAATCGCAGATGGCTGTCGTTTAAGGGGCCGTCTCGTGGGATAGGAACCGTGGCACACATCTCATCTAGGCTCTGCTTGCCAGCAAGATGGCACAGCTGAGGATTGCGAACCTGTGGTCCTTGGTTCTGGACATTTTTCTTGCTGCTCTATTTGCTGCTTGCTTGTCTTGGTACAGTGATATGCCGTGCAGGGCAGAACGCTTTGCAACACAGGGGTCTAGATAATTACCTATACTATTTTGGGGGGGGTCCTTATCATAGTATTATATACCCCAAAACCCCATTCTAATTACATACTATGGCCCCTACATTACTCTTCCGGTCAGCCATGCATGGGCCATGCTCATCGTATCCGGCTTGTCTAGGTTGCCCAGCTATGGTCAACCTCGGTCAAGACTTTGCCATTATTCGTTGGTGTGGCCGGTGGCAACGTGATGCTACACAGGTGGGAGTTTCAGAAAGTGCGGGACCCAAATCGTGGATCGCAGGCTCCTCCCGATACGGACCCCGAAACAAAGTCCTTGAAAGTACCCTCAATTTTGAGAAGCCACCAACCTGTCCTTCCCCGTTTTCAGTGGCCATGAAACACCCTCCCAAGCACCTTTGGTATGCGAAAGTCGTGAAGGCTCTGCCGTCCTGACCTGAAGCTGACCCCGGAACGCCCCTCGGTTGGTATGATGGATCATGGCGGTATGAGTAATGCGGTTCAGTGATAGGAACAACAGCAGTGTTCGGAAACATGCAATCACAATAGTAGTAACTTGTAATAGCAATGAATGACAATCATAATAACAATCATGATAATAGTAGTAGACAGCAGTCCTTCTCCAGTCCGTACATACGTACAATACACTCCCCCATCCTCCCCCCGCAGAAATCTCACCAATCTCTAATCACTCTATAATCATTAAGGCCCCAGTCTACCCAGCAAGGCTTGACCCGTGACACAACGATTATGACGCTTCTTGTGCCACTCGGCCAAAGCGAGAGCCATTCTCTGACAGGGCAGAGATGATCAGAGATGTCTGTCATCCGACAGAGACGAGAGCCTCAGAATGGTTCAACGAGGATCCCAATAATTCAACGTGAGTGGTAGGATGCGGTAGGACCCTTAAAAGAATCCACAAACATATCCGTAAACTTGGAAGACGTTGAAGAGCTGCCCAGCTGATGGCGGCTTGTGGACATAGCAACGCTCAGCATTTCAACACCTGGCACAAACTTTTTTGCGTTAATTTATGGCTTGTGGTCGAGATGGGGGCCTTCGTGACGCCAGGGGCCAGGGTTTGCAGAATGGATCCTACTGTTTGGGATTTATATGGATTTACACTGGTGTCATCTGTTTCATGTTCTGCAACTCTCATATCTTTCTCCACTTCTTACCCTATGCAGTAGGAGTGCAACATTGCCCGTGTGCGAAGGTTTGTTTCCAGCATCGGGCTGCCGCGAGAGTTCCTTCCGTCACTCACCATGGCGCGTGTGATGGTGAGCAGTTTTGCTACCGATGCCCCACTTTCGAACAAGGTTGGGTGCTCAGCGGCTCAGCATATCTTTTCCATGAGTTAGAATCGCGGTCCGGGCAGACCTAAGCAGTTTTCCCTGTCCTTCATGTCAGCACCGAGTTTCTGCCAAGCTGATGCCAACTTGCACTGGGAGGTGAATCTCGCCTTGACTCCACTCTACATACTCTCACACTGGTGTCAAAACTGGACGGCGACTTCTGCCGACCAGCAACCCGGTCCAAAGCTGGAGCCGCGGGCTTGAATGCCGATATACTATATTGGATCATATTCCACTACTTCGCATTGCGCTAGAATGTAGTATTTTCTATATTATCTGTTAGGTTTGCGTTAGCTTTTGTCACAAGCCGAGGCTTCTCTTCACCATCTGCAGTGAGGGCATCATCTTGTCCTTCTTGTCACTGGCAATTACGAACTTAGACGTCAAGGACCGGAGCTTCCAATGACAGCCAGAAGTCCTACAGAAGTCCTTGCCTCGTAGGAGTACCAGTTGGCGGCTGCTGCCATCGAGCTGGAGGAGAAAGTCCAGCAGGTGCAGGAGGCAGAAGCCCGGAAGCACCACTGCAAGTCCCCATGTGAGCTTCGTTTTGGCCCTAAACCCTAAACCCGAAACCCTAAGCCTTGGCTTGCCTGTGTTTGTGACGAAACTGGCACCTGCAGAAGAGCCCCAGCAGGGTATCAGAATCACAGGATTCCGAAGAGCCTCACTACATCTACAAATCTTGAACACATACATGCTATATGCATGTGTGTATACATATGCTTATATAGAAATATATGTAAACACATGTCTGTGTTTAGCCCCGTCAGAGGTAACAACTCTAAACCCTAACGCCTAACCCCTAATAGTATACTGAGGAGCGAACTGGAGGGGCTGCACAGCGCCTCCTCAGCGTGACTTGCGATGCCTTCGTGAGGCGCGGGATTTAGTTCCTGCTTCGGGAAGCCCCTAAAACCCTAAACCCTAAACGGGGCTACGAGGTTCCTTTTCACTCCGACCTTCGCACCATGAACCTCGCCTGGCATGTCCGAGTTGTGAGAGCGTAAACGCCCTAAACCCTAAGCCCTATGTAGATGAAGGGTCCGAAGTCCTGAACTAGGTCACCTCATTCATTCATTCATATATATATATATGCATGCAGGCTGAGCAGGAGGGCGAAACCCAATTAGCCCCTTCCATTTTTCGGGTTGTCGTTGTTGCAGCTCTTCTTTCAGTTTCACAATTCCGACTCAAGAAAAAATACCTCGCCTGGATTGTCCGAGTGTGAGCGCCGAAAACCCCTTGCCCGTGAGAGCCGAAGTCCACTCAAGAGGGTTAGGGGTTTAGGGTGGGTCGGTGCCTGGTATATCCATGGACCCAGGTGCAAAATGTAATTATCGATTATTAATAGCATTGACAAACAATTATATCAATACTAGGAATAACAACAATAACAACATGCTAGTACCACTACTACTGCTGCAACAACAACAACTACTACTACTACTACTACTACGACTACTACGACTACTACGACGACGACGACGACGACTGCTGCTACTACTACTACTACTGCTACTACTGCTACTACTACTACTACTACTAGTCATAGCCAGAATCATAATAATGAAAATAATAACAACCCCTATGACAATTACTAATGAGCGAACATCTAAGCACAGGCTGGCGCCGGATCTTTCGATTTTCGAGCCTTCCCGGAGCTTGTCCGATCTGCTGATGTGCAACTCCACTGATGAGTTTGGGTGTTTAGGAGTTTAGGGGTTTAGGGTTCTTGCCTTTAGACTTAGGGTTGCGTAGGCGCTGGCCGGCATCTCACTCCGTGCTGGGTTTCGGAAAGACGCGGTATGCAGAAGGATCTACAGATCCAACCTAGCGACCACATCCAGCTTGGCCTACCTACCCTAAACTCTGGACGTTCAATCGAGCATCTTCGGACCATCCTTGCTCGGACGCTGCCCTCGGCTTGTCGAAGAAACCGAAGGCGAATGCCGGAATGCAGTTGTCGGTTCGAGACTGTGCCTTCTTTAGAGGCTCGGAACCTGCATCGGCTTTGGAGCGTGGGCTGAGGTAGCACATCCTGTAAACCCTAAACCCTAAACCCTTGTTCTGCCGACTTACCCTGCAATGCGGGCTCGTCCTAGCTATGTCGGAGGGAAAAAAACCCTTGGTGTTCATGGATGGTTGTGTTTTCTGATGCCCAGACCCGAAGACCTCCCATGCTTCAATCGAAGAATGAAGCCAGGACCCTAAAACGTGCCTGCTTGTGCGAGTGCGCGAGTCGAAACCCTACCTCGCCTGGCTTGTCCGAGTTGCGGGAGTGTAAACCCTAAAGGAGTCACTCATGTCGTGGTGTGCTTCGGGGTGGGTGTCTCTTGCTGAAGCCTTGACACCGGATGGCTACGAGGTTTCTGAAGCGGACGAGGGTGTCCCCAACGATCCCCAAAGCAACTATTATTATTGTTATTGTTACTGCTACTATTAGCATTTTTGTTGAGATGATTATTGCATTGATTCTTATTCTTAGTCTAGGACCTGAAACTTTCGAACTTGGTGCGGTTTCAGGCCTACAAGGTTCGTAGGCGCCTCTATCAGTCCCCGGCCCGCAGCTTGGCGTCACGAGGGCTTTTCGAGCCGAAGCAGTGCGGGGTTAGGTAGCCCTAAACCCAAAACCCTGAACCCTAATCGACTTACCTGATTTCGCGGACTCTGAGGTGGATTCGGTTCGAGCATTGCTTCGAATCTTGGCAGGGAAAGCTATGTGTGCTCAGAAGGTTTGCGCAGAGGAGGAATACGGTCATATCGGTTGATGCATGGCGATCTACAGCATAGCACGACATCCTAATCTTAGCGGTGGTGAATGATGTGGGGTCTGAGCTTCTCGAAGTGGTGGTGCTTTGTGTAGTTAGTGCAGTTCCGGGTAGCAGAAGGAATACAACGGGGAGGAGAGCAGGGACAGCATGAGAGTTCACTGTTGCTAAGATAGCTTAACATCCTCCCAACACTGCTACTAAGAAATTGCTTACTGGCTTATGAAAGGGACTCCAATTTACGTCTTTGTCCAGTGTCTTAGTGAAGCTGGGCCATCATCACCAAAGGAACCCGCTGGATGGCGTCCCGATCATTCGGTACATCAATGAAGCGGACGCTGGGTGGGCTGGGGCGAAGGTGTTCTGTCAGGGCTGCACCTCTAGCGGCTGCAGCCCAGTAAGACGTTTCATTTTCGGCCTCGCAGGACCATCAGCGATTCACGGACTTTATCAAGGAATCGTCCAATGAAACGACGCTTGCCATGCAGATGACTTGTTCCACAAGTTAGCATGAAACGCCGTTGGCCCGTGTCTGCATTCCTTCGGCTTTCATGGTGCGACTTGGTATGTTTGTAGCTAGCGACTCGGGTCGGGACGTGCTCGCTCTGTGTCTATGTCTCGCTGTCTCTCACCACCGGCAACAAAACTCGGCCCAATAATTTTGAGCCCATCAGACGAGCAACATCTTAAGTTTCACAAACCTTGGGCGGCGCATTAATTAGTTAGTTAGCATCCATGCATATCAAACCATATGGTTGTTGTCTGTTCCACCTGAACCCTTCCTGGTCGAAATGTCGTTGCTTGCTTCTGTGCTCTATATATATATATATATAGGCTCCAGACTCTACGAGTGACCGTGGTCTCAGCTTTTCCCTTTGAAGACACGTCCTGGCTCCTTTGCCAGGAACCCTGCCAGATCTTTGCATGTCGGGATGAAGGACACCATGGATTCTGTTGCTTAGGGCAGCCACAACTGAGTCAACCCATGCCAAGCTGCCGAAGACTTCCGGGAAGGACTCTGGGGGTGTCGTCTTCAATGTCGAGCTGTTCCACGTCACGGTTCCTGGTCTCAGGACTCTGCCCTGCCCAGACAATTCGAGCTTGAGACTAGCGGATTCGAGCTGTCGAAGTTGCGCACAGTGTAACTCGGAAGGACTGAGGAACACACGCACCTGATCGGAATCACGCAGGAGCACGGCGGTGTGCATGGCAAGCAGCTGCAGAATTGCGAGACTGCTGCCTCTGTGTGCAGGAGTCATGCACAGACAGGCTTGAGCGCTGCGAGGCACTGGATGCCCAGCAGTGCCTTGCAGAACATGCAGTGCCGACCGTAATGTTTTCGGACTGCACTGGGGCCGTTGCGGTTAGGAAAACTAGAAACAAAGACTTCGTGTCGAGTTGTACAGGCCTCCGAATTCGATCGCGGCCTGGAAAGGCTGGATACGACATCCATTCCCTGGCAGGCAAGGAAGCCGGATCGGACAGAGCAGGAGAGGTGTCAGGCTTGTCATGAAACTCGCCGACAGCCCTTCGCACCTGCGTCTCCCAGATTCACCCAGCATTCGCAAGAGGCGCTTAGACTCATCATGATGTTCTGTGGTGAGTCGTTCAAAAATCTGAAAGATGTGTCCGAGTTGCAGGCTGCAGGCTAGGCCCAGGGTTGGCTTGAGAGGTTCGGGTTTGGGTTGACTAGTTGTGCGTCTGGCTGGGTTCCTGGTAGCGCAACTCATTCCGGTCTGCCGGGAGTCCGGCGGGCTGAAGCCAACTTTCCTACAGAGCCTCGTAGCAGAGCGTGGGCAACTAGGTATCAGATCCCAGAAGAATCGAGCGCACAAGTCTTAGGTTCAAGGACTTGAAAATTATGTAAGACCTTTCGGTCCCCCCCCCCCGCCGACAGGCCGGTCTGGACGATATGCGACACATCCTTGGGTGCCCCGCAGCAACGGCAAGGTAGGGTGGGGCTTTGGAAAAGTCGGGATGTCGAGTTTCAGATTCCTGTCAAGATGTCGAGCCAGATTTTTTTTAATAGCAAGCTCCTTCAACCCTGGAAAGCATCACCAAACCCCTAGACTGTGCACATTCTGAGGTACAAACTCCAGAATGGGTGCAGGAGCCTTCCAAGCAGACAGTCCCGGTCTTCGGGGAGCCACAGCAGTGGTCGTCGCCTGGCAATTCACTCTTTGCCCATCGTCTGCCGATGTCTGCGACTGGAGTAGTAGGGATAGCTTCATATCTAGTAGAATATCGTCGACCACCTACTCCTACTGACCTACTGTGCTACTTCGTAGAACAGTAGGCGTAGGTCCAAATAGGTGGGCGACGATTCTGATGGTATTGTAAGTGGTTCATCCTGCGGAGACTACCAGGAGGGACTTGACCTGGAAAGAGAACAGTAAACATGTATCAGAGTTTGTCATGTATCAATGACTGGCATCGTAAAATCGGGAACAGATGATTTCGATGGTGCAGAGAGCATGTGGGCGACTTTCAGATGCACGTCCTACACCTTGACTCAAGAGATGTGTATTGTTTGGATCGTATTCTTCTGGCCCCAAGCATCCTTGGAGCTGATACCTGCATTGCCCTTGCCGCTATACAGGCACAGACAATCTGACCCAGCTGCGAAACCTGGAGAAAGTCAGCATCGTCGTTGATGTAGAGACACTTGGTTATACAGTGAAGTGTTCGGGTGAACCCTGGCTGACGTGGAATCAATCCCTGGGCTCGTCTATGACGTCTTTGTGAGTTTTGGGGCGGCGTTATGGGTTTTTGTTCTCGCAGTGGGGTGGAGGACCGGAAGTTGTGATGGAAGAAGTGCTGCTGTTCTTCTTGTTATTTATCGTTATTGTTCTCCTTGTTGTTGTTGTTGTGGTTGGAAAGAAGTAGTACTGTAGAGCAGCAGCAGCAGCAGCAGCAGGACGAGTAGTAGTAGTCGTCGTCGTCGTGGTGGTGGTGGTGGTATTGGTAGCAGCAGCAGCAGCAGCAGCAGCAGCAGCAGCAGCAGCAGAGCAGTAGGAGTCGGAGCAGCAGTCCAAGCAGGAGTTGCAGTTGCAGTACTCGTCGTCGTCGTCGTCGCCCTCGTGGTGGCTTCGAGAAGATGGTGCCACAAAACTCAAACATACATGTATGCGTGTAACTGTCTGTATATATGTACGCAATGCTTCCCGGATCATCCTGTAGATGCCTAGTGGTCGTCATTGTCGTATCGCTGGGAAGAATAAATAGAGCGTTGCAAAGGACTACAGGGTCAGCCGCACTGCATGACTTTATCTTGGATCCTGTCCTTGCCGTGTGCTATTTGTGTAGTGGAGCTGCTGTCATGATGACTGCAGTCAGTAGTCATTGTTCCGGTCATGCTTTATAACTACATACGCCCTACGCCATCTCACCCAGCAATCCCAGGACGCTGACCCAAGACTTCCTAATTCGTTCGATGAAGATGTCTCCTGGCGGCACAGATAATTCGGGCCTGGGCTCATGATCTGCTATGAGGTCCCTCATTGAACCGGATATGCATACATGTGTCCTCAATCTGCAGCAGCCCAGATGCTCAGGACTTTTGCAAAACCCAACCCGGAAGCCACGGGTGTGCCGAATCTGCTGGAGTGGATCAAGCCGTCCTACAGGCAGGCCACTCGGATCCTGCAGTGTTTCGACAGCTCTCACTTGCAAGCAGCTCTGGCGACGCAAAGTGACTTCGGCGGAAGCCTATGTTATAGGACGCAATATCGTTGTAGTTAAGTAGAGTATCCACTGAGAAGCAGAAGCATGTCGGTTTCTTCTAATCACAGGAGAAGCTGAGGGCTTTGGACTGGCAAGCTTCGCCCCGGCGTGAGGTCCAATATCTTCAACTACATTCAGGATCATGCCAATGCCCGCTACGGCGGGCGCGAGTGCGCAGTCACATGTCTGACAACTTGATATTATTTTAGTTGTTGGTACTATCAGGCAAAACATTGTTTGTTCTTTGTTATTATTACTACACGACGGTCCCCCACCCACAAATGCTTCAACGTCCTACAGACAGCTGAAATAGTTCTAGTACAACACGGATGCGCTAAGTTGGAAGCCACGGATGTCGCGAGTATTTCCAGTGCAGTTGCTAGCATCCCTTATGTTTCTTGCTGACTTGGGTTTAGAGTTTAGTGTTTCGCTGATGCCGGTGTTCACTTGGTTCTGCAACGGCAACTGGCATCTCATGCAATCATGGCAAGCACCCAAGGAGCGACCACTTCGGGGAATCAAGATGTATTCGCCGATGGCATCTGCCAAAACTGTTCTAGCTGCTTGGTGCATGCTGGAGCCTGAAATACCCGAAATCGAAGCTCCTTTACCCTCTTCGGCATCGGCAGCTCATCCGTAGAAGCCCTTGCAACAACGACCGCAAGACGAAGTTTAGAACGATCTCCGCGGCCTATGAAGACCCGACATGCAAAGCTCTCCTCTGAGCCTTGATAAACACAAGCCGCTCCACCCGAAAAGGAGTTCTGATGGTTGTAAGGCTGACTCTACTCTTTCGCTCTCACACCACGTCATATCAAGGTCCTGCGCTGATGGCAAGAACAAGAACCCTAAACCCCGAACTTCAATCCAAAACCCTAAGGCCCTAAGCCCTGAACTTCAATCCTTATGGCAATGCTGTTTGAGGTGGGTGAGGTGCGGATGGAAAGCTTCCTGGAAGCCCGGCAGTCATTGGCTACTTTAACGTTGTCATAGTAACAACAGCCAGCATCAGTAAAATGAGGGCGCCGTATCCATGATAGTGTCGACTGCCCTTTTCCTCCCATTGCGGCCGCCGCTGCAGCTGCTGCTGCTACGACTACAACGACTTTGACTACGACGACGACTACTACTACCGGTACTAGGTCTTCTTCTACTACTACTACTACGACGACGATGACGACTACGACTACGACTACGACGACGACTACTACTACTACTACTGCTACTACTACCATCGCTACTACCACTACTACTACTGGTAGGTGCCGAGTCAACCCTAAACCGAACCACATGCCTCGCCTGGAGTGTCCGAGTGTGAGCGCCGAGGCCCCAAGACGTGTCCCATACCATGCTCTGCAGCCTGCGGTTTCTGATTTCCCGTATCTCAGGAGTCCAGCGACCAGCTAAAGTCCCCTGAAGAAGACATGGATGACGCGTCCAGCTCTTCGTCAGCGATGCCCCTTGCATCGGCAAGTATCTGCATGCAGCAGAGAGTCAGGGCGAGGGGTTACTAAACCCGACACCAGGACTTGTCTGGAAAGCCGTGCCTGCCTTGAGGAGTGTGCGAGTCGAAACCCGACACCGTTGATTAGCCAGATATTTCCAGTTTCCTGTGGAAAGCAGATATTCTGAAGCAGGATGCTTCAGGAGTGAGCGAAGCTTAGGTACATGGAGTTGGGGCTGACAAATCTATTCGCGCACTGAGCATGCACAGCTCCTATACAGTGCTTGAAAGCTGCCTGTGATATCGTGTTTCTGAGCCCAGTGAGAGGTTTGTTTCAAAGGCCGAGGAAACGCCACCGGCAAAAGCCAACATGTTGCCACCGACATGCCAGAAGGCTTGCTGCGCTTTTCAATATTCCTCGGCACCCCCCTGCCCCCCTCCCTTCTGTGTCTTAAACGAAGAGCAGCAGAACCTGTTGGGTGACGTGTCCTCCCGCTGGAGATCCTGGCTGATAGACATATTGTCTTCCAGCAAAGTGTCTGGAACGGCTTTCTTGGATCATGCGGATGCGCGAACACGGAGCAGACTGTGCGATGTTATCCATCAGGGACAATGGCAACAGCGTTGCAGGTGGTGATGGTTAGATCGCACCCATTTTATGCCTAGACTATTTTGGCCACCGCGGTGCCTCACCGGGACGTCAAAACATGCCGTCTGACTATACCACATCTTCCCCAGAGGCACTGTGAAGTAGGCCACAGTTATGGCACTGTTTCATCACTACTTCAGTTGAGGCGAGTTGCATAACGCAGCGCATGTGTATGCAGGTGCTGGACGGCGTACTTAACGCTATGCACTCTTACGCCGTATCCACTGCAAATAGCGAATGATTGTACGTGCCTACCTGCATGAACATGCTTCTTTGTACATGTGTATTGACATAGGCGCAGAGCAGGGAGCTGTGTGCGCCGGTCTTTGCTTGGAGTGTAAGTTTAAATTTATGCAAGCTGACTCTGCCGGACGCCTTGGAAATCAAGCGTGCAACTGCTGCTTCTTTTGTTCTCGGCGTTATCATGACATTTCGTGTTTGCTGCTTAACTGCAGCAGTGCTGGTGCTGTAACTTCTGCTGTTATTCCCTAGATTCTGCGTCCGCTGCAAATGTTTAACCAGCCTGGATGCGACTGAGCGATGCGAAGTGTACTGTCTGATGCCTGAATATTTTTTTCAATGCGGAAGGAGTCAGAAATACATCGAAACTACACTTTAAACCAGGAGTAGACAGATTTGGCTCTTGTGGTCCTGGCATTTCCAGACCGGGCCTGTCCCACATCAAGTAAGGTACTCTACAAGCCTGATTCTATTTATGGGGGTTTCCGAAAATAGGGGACCCTAATATAGCACCCTAAATAGTAGGATCCTTATTATAAGGACCCAAAATAAGGTACCCTACTTTTCGGAAAGTCCCATTTGTTAAGGCCCTAGATTGTAGCTTTAGACGGCTGTACTTACAGTGCTGTCTTCAATCTTGCACCGCCCTGGCAATTCGTACTCACACCCTTCAAGTCGCACTGAACCAGAATTTACTCTTCACCCCGAAGCCCCTGAATACAGTTCGAATATGTGTGCAAAAACATTTGCAACACGACTAGGGCTAGCAGGGCAACAAGGAACGATGGCTTGACTTCGGCTTGAAGGCAATTTTGGGCTCACAATCTGCAGCTCAAGACAAGGATGTTGGGACGTCATTTTCAACATGAGTTAGGCATATGTAGTCCATGGGCTTGTGGCACATGTCATACATGTCTGCGCGTAGCCTTAAAGTAGTGTTTGCGATCTCACATACGAAACCTGTGGTATGCACACCATGTTTTGCCAACACAGGAGCAGGCTGGTCTCTTCATTTCGCTGGCAACGGTAGGCGTCCGCGACACGAAACAAAAGCCGCGAATCAAAGAACCCCGTGGAAGAGTAGTGTGGCACGTGATGCCTAAACCCTAAGGCAAAAAAACGGTGAGCCCAGGCATGTCCGAATGTGAGTCCTGAAGCCGTGATGCTTATTGTGCTTTTGTTCCGGGGGCCATTCCTCCCGGAACCCCGAGTGAGCCGTGTACCGCGAGCTTGGGTTCTTGTATGTTATTGTATTATCAGAGGGGACTGTCGCGTGGGATGGACACCGGTGCTGAATAGCTGCTCGAGATACTTACATATGACCGGCATATTCGGATCCATAATGGCCATAATGTATAATATACATAGTATATAGTATGTAGTATAGACTATACTGCGTATTGTATATGGCGTATTGTATGGTTATTTTGCTTCGCAGGTGATCTCAGAGTCACGTGCTCGCATGTCTACGGCGCAGGTCCGTGCAGCACTGTACAGCAGAACTCTAAGTGTTCACTACCGCACTTAAGTCGGACATCCAGATTGAAAGACCGCAAGCGACACAACCAAGTTGCGTCTAAATACGGCCGTCTGTTGGCTTATTTCAGTAATCCGATGTGGCTCACCAGTTCTGGTTCGAGTCCTTCATTGCTTTGCGAAGTTTTAAGATTGCACGCACAATCTCTCGCATTCAGGTCCTAGCATATCATTCGCCACCCCCGGCCAGCACCTGAGCTGGCGCAACAAGCTGAGGGCATACAGGCTGGAGTCGGAGCTTAGCCAAGTCTTCAACGTGCCTGGCATCAATCAATGCGAGCATCAGCCACCACGTGTAGAGTAGAAGCCCCTCACACTTTGTCAGAAGGACCCCTACGCTCTGAATACCGCCATCATAGGTTCCTGTCATGCTGGGGGGGTACAAGCTCTTTGCCACTGCGATTTGGGCCCACCACTCAGCACAGGAGATGAGCGAGCAATAATTCTGCAGATTACGTAAGAGTGGCTTGGGTTTGCATTGGAAGCTTGTGCCACCATGTGTACTGTAAACATGTGTAAACCCTAAACCCTGAACCCTAAACCGTAACTGGCGGGGCATGGCACATTTGGAGGGCAACCAGCTTCAGTTCGCGACTCGGTCTTCATCCCAGCCGGCTTTCACGCATCTTCACGACTGGGGCCTTGCATAGACGTGTCCATCCATAGCATGCGCGATATGCATATGCCCAAAAAACAGCTGTTTAGGGTTTAGGGAACATATCGTACTGTAAAAATACAATGACAGAAAGACAGATAGATGATTGAGTCCTCTTGCAGTATCAGTGGAAGTAGCAGGTCCCACCCCTCTTCGCGTTCGCCGGCTTCCTCATCAGCAGCCTCTACTGGGTGTCCTCACCTCAAGTCTGGATTGACTCTACAGTTTTACGTTTTTTTTTTGGATTTCGGCATCGGGGTTCAAGGGTTGTAGATAAGCTGGCAGGCTTTAGGAGTTTGAGTCAGGGGCCCAATCGGATTTAGGGATCATGGCTTGGCTTTCGCGTTTGGTGTGAGACTCTCAGCACTTTTTCATGTTCGGGGTTTTGGACCGAAGCTTGTCACTTGGAGGTTGTACCGGCGCCAAAAATCGCGCGAGCGCTGCTTGATTGAGCATACCAGACTGCTAGACGAGCTGAGAGTAGCTTCCAGTACCGTCTTGGCACCAAAGGGCTCCAAAAAAAATTGTCAGGTCGTCGCGACAGTCATAGCCGCGTCGTAGAAGTTCCATATGTTTAGTCGACGCCCCCTCACCTGGCAGGTTTGACAACCTGCTGGCTGTTCAGCCAGAGGATCGGTCACCGTGAAGTCCTGAGCGAAAGTGCTGCCACAGTTTGCGGAGTTTCTTTGCTGGAGGTCAGATTTCGGAACTTCGGGATGGTGAGACAACAGAAGTGGTTCAGGAGTAGAGAAGCTGGTGTCTGCTACTGTTTGGAGATCAGCGCAGATGCAAATCCATTCCCCCAAAGCACGGCTTGAGTTTGAACAGGTCGTTGGTGCAAACCCTGGCTGCTGTTGCATGCTTTGTCAGGGCCTCTGCGACTGCAGCAGGTTTTGTGTTTGTGGCAACTTGCTTGATGCTGCCAGTGTGCTGGTGTAGGGGCCTAAATAAATACCCATACTATTTTGGGGGTTCTTTATTTATAACTATAGTATACAGTACAATGGTCCCCGAAACCGAAACCCACTTTACTTCCTGTGTTGAATTTTGCGCTCTTCGGGTCTTCCGAGACCGCCAACTACTGGGCCAGCGGCTTCATGTCATCAAGCGGGCTGGGAGCAGGCAGAGCGCGGTCAAAGACGGTCTGAGTTCATCTTGCAGCGCTCCATCTTGGGACTGCTGCCCCAAGACTGTGAGACTAAGGTTTGAGTTGTGTTTGGCGTTTTTTCTCCAGGGCTCAGGAGCAGAAACCCTCCAAAAAGAGGTCTGATCTCCTTCGTTCTTGCCCTTTGGGCTATTGCCGCCTGGCGCGCCTTCGACGTGCCTCGGCAAGGGAGCTTGATGGATCCGGACAAGAGCCTCGGATGGTCGCTGATGGGAATTCAGAATGATCAACATGGAGATGAGGTAGGTCATCCTTCCGAGAATCAGTGCAGTTTCACTTTCCGAACCAGTTGGGCCTTTCCTTGAGTCGCTTCTGGTGACTGCTGCAGTGCCTATAGCCGTACACAGGGTGCCCTAAACCCTAAACCCTAAGCCCAATCCCACGTCCCTCTGCAAAGGGCACGACCACCGGTCTCGTGGTCGCCGTCTGCAGCTGAGTGGTGGCTAAAGTCTGCAGCACGGAAGTTTCGAGCCAGGATCGTAGCATTGGAGCCCAGGGAGACCTGGGACCGGAAGTTTCGTGGATCGGAGCTCGAGTAAGGGTTTAGGGGTTTAGGGTTTAGGGTTTAGGAGCTGGTGGCTGCTAGGACTAGGAGCAATTGAGCGGCAGCCGAGGTGATGACCGCTGTTGGCGGAACTCTCATTGAGGCCTTCCCTGAGTTTGCGGTGCTTGGACCAGGGTCGGTCTTCACTCGGAGAGAAGTTTGAGTGGGTGAGTAGGGCCAGCTTTGGAGCAGTATGCTCATGTGGCTCAGCTTCCTCCCACGATGCTATGGACTCCAACTTGGACGGCATCTGCCTCAACGATGAGGTGAAGGAAAACTGAGATACTCCTTGGGGAAGTAACTTGAAGGCTCATTGTCGTGCACGTCAAGGCATGTCTGTTGTGGCCACTGCAAGTTGCGCAGCGATGGAACAGGAGTGGTGAAGTTGGGCTGAATGCCGTGATGCTTGGATTCCTGATTGCTGCTCTTTTGCAGCAACCGGGCCACAGGCAGATCAAGAAGAAGCGAAACCGCACCCGAAGGCAGCTTGACTGAACATGGCGACTGCCTGGCCCAGCCCCACCTTTCACGACAGCTTGGCCGCTGCACATCTACTGCGCAAACGGGTGAGTGTGGGAAGCTGAAATCGCGTGGTATCCCACCTTGCTTTCTTCGTGGCACTCCTGCACATCGTCTTGAATTGTCCGAGTTGCGCGAGTGAAGAATTGATTCACATCTCGGCCAGGAGCCCTGGCACCCTAAACCTTAGGCCCTCAACTCTAAGCCCTAAGCCCTCGGAGCTGTGAGAGCGTAAGCCCTCGTACAATAACGTCAGGGTAACCCGTCTCCTTGTTGCATGGAGGTGTTTCTCATCAACGCGCCGTGGTGGGACCTCTACGCTTACTCGAAGGCTCGAAGGGAGGGCGCGAAGTTCGATTAAGTTCGGGGTATTACCCTTCTTCACTATACTATACTATAACGAACTAAATTGCATTGTATTGGTTTTGATACTAAATATCAAAGTATGCTTTCACTACCCTCTTCACGACGTTTCTTCTCACCCCCAGTGGCTTCTGGTCAGGCCGATTTCTGGGGCGTGGACAGCTGGCAGCTGGCTTGCGTGTAGCTTTGTTGAGCCTTTCCACTTGCATCAGGGCTGGAGGCCTCAGGAAAGAGATTCAGACACCAACGCTGCATCGCATCCTGTTGAGAAGGCGGCTACCGTAAGCCTAAAGTACGTGGCATGATGACGGCTTCTGCAGCCTTGAAACAAGTCTCGCGCAAGTTCTCGCAGCCATAACCCGAGGATTCCATGGGTGTACTTCTGTGGCGCTCCGGCCGTGGGCAGCCTTTCCAGACGTATCCGAAATAGCGTAGCGCCGTAGCCTGACATGCGCTGTCAGCTCCAACCCCTGGCAAAAAGTATTGCAGAAGGGGTGAGTCCTTGCCAGTCTGAGACCGCAAGCCACAGGGCCCAAGATGTTGCCTCATCGAAGTTGCAAGTGCCTACGTTCCTTTAGCCATCCTTCGGCTTTTTCGGTCTTGCAGTCGGAAGCAGTGCTCAGAGATGTTCAGAGAGAGAGAGAGAGAGAGAGAGAGAGAGCGAGCGCGCGGTCGAGGGGCAACCCTCGGCTGTAACCCTGGCGAAAGAAAGAGAGAGAGAGAGAGAACAAGAGAGGTGCACTCAGGGGAACGTGGCATTCAACCCCAAAGGGGGCTCTCCGACGAACAGACGCGAGCCAAGGGGGTAGGCCTCCGGGCCAGGGCTCCTACGGGAGCTCATACCCCAAGCAAGCAGGCAAGCAAGAGAGAGAGAGGAACATGTCGGGGTAGCCACCATCCTTTGTGCTCACTAGGATCTGCCACCACAGGCCAGAGATGACAAATGATCGGGGGGAGAAGGAGCAGGACCTCGGGCACGTGGTCACTTTTCTGTAGCCGAGCTCGTCGGCCTTCTTCACAATAAAAGCCGTGCTTTGCTTCCAATGAGTCTTGGTCGCTAAATGTCTCCGTGATGAGTGTGTGCCGATGGCTGTGTCATTGCTGTGTGATGCTGTGCTGCTCAGCGTGGGCCTTCTGTGTGGTGCTGCTTCATGCATGCCCTGTCACATGACGTGTCAAGCTTGGACCGCGCGCGCGGATGCAACAAATGTGCCGGGTTGGGGGTCAGCGAATCGGGTGGGATAAGGCTCTCCTCTCAACTACTTGGCTCGCCCTCACAGCCATGCCAGCACATGATGCGCAAAATCCTGCAAAAATAAGGCATGCATGTGCGAAATAAAACCGCCTGGCCTCCCCGGACCTCCCAACCTCTTGGGACCTCCCGGGACCTCCCCCGGACTTCCCCGGCCCCGAACCTCAAAAATGCTGTTTTTCCTTGCAAAACAACTTCTCGGTAATTTTCATACAGCAAAAAAAATTATGGTATATTCTCTATTGTGGGTAATATAGGATTTATATTATTAACCGTGCCAATTATCCTATAACTCGATACTTAAAAGACTAAAAAGGCTCGAAGTGTTGTGGGGCACGGCGCTTCCTGAAATTCATCTAATCTTGTTTCGAAAATATTATTATTATATGTAATATAATCGTGATATCCTGATTATGTAATTTATATATATATATATAATTTTTGCTAAGATTGGAAGATGAAGGTGATCTGATTTTATTTTGATAGTCGTTGGTGTTATGGCAAAATTTGATTTAAGATGAATTAGGGTAGTCTGAATATCTTAAGACCATTTTTTCTATAATTATATATTTGAATCCTAGTAGGCTTAAGTAATCTTGATAAATATATGAATTTTGAAATATAAAAAAGAATATAGTTTTATAACTTTATTTTATAATGGCTTAGGTAATTTTCTTTTAAATGAGGCATCTTCGGTATTGGAGAGATATAAGATGGGTCTCTAAATTCTCGGATTTTATATTACTTCGTTTATTAATATAATCGAATATTAAACGAGACTCTGATATTTTTTCTTTTTTTTAGAATATATTAAAATGAATAAACGAGATATATTTAAATAAGAAAATAAGATTCTGATATTATCTTTTTTAGAATATAAGAAAATATGACTCTGATATTTTCTTATTTTCTTTTATTTAAGAATATATTTAAATAAGGAAACGATATTCTGCAAATTTCTTATCTTCTGGGAAAAATGGAGACTCTGATATTTTCTTATTAGTTTATAATCGAGAGCTTATAATCGAGAATATTTCTGAATAAGAAAATGAGTTTCTGACATTTTCGATTTTTCTTTGTTCTAGAATATATCTAAATGAGAAAAGGAAACTCTGGTATTCTCTTATTTTTTATTATTTTGGAATTTAGCTAAAGAATATGAGAAGTTGGGTCATCTCTGACAAGCCTTGACCAATACTGACCCTCTTTCCGCACATTTGTATTATATAGAATGAAATAAGAAAATGAGACTCTTGGGCGAGGAGACCCTGATTTTCTTATTTTAAGAGTGCTTATTTATTTTAAGAACAATTTCTTTAATTCCCAAATCTAGAATTTTATTTTCTTTGTTGGGTAATATATATCTCTCGAGCTCTTCTCTTACCGTCATGCAAGCACAAGGCCTAGATTATATATATTTTTTTTATATAAATAATATAATCATTTATATATATTATATTATATATATATATATTCATTATTTGTCGGTTTTCTATTTCTTCAAAAAAATATTTCATTTCATCCATATTTTTTCGAAAAATACAGAAATTATATTCATGATATTTATATTATTTCTGAGACCGTGACGATCTGGATTCTTGGACATTGTCTTTTTAAAAATATAAAAATGATATTTTTCTATATTCGATTATAATATATAATTTACTAGAAGACATGTGGCCCGAAAG